GCGAGCAGGGCTTCTGGCTGATTTATGTTAGATGTGTTATCAGATGCTGCTGTCACCAGGGAGGCTCTTATCTGTTTCTCTGCATCTCACAAAATGGGCTTTCTAAGTTTGAAGAATGTATTTTGAGATGTTTTCAGCAGCTGCTTTTGAAAAACAGGAAGTAACGGGACTGATGTTGCTGGCAGAGCTGTGTGTTTTTATTCCTCTTCATACCTGTTTGCACAGCACGACTTTAACTTTATAATGGATCGTATTTTCATTCTTGGTCGAGTTCTTTGCCTGAGAAAAACATCTTGCACAGCCTTGAACTGAACAGCTCGATGTACCAAAGCAGTGAGTGTAGATTAGATGGCTACTGTGTAAATTCTCTAGTGCTACTTCACCTCTTAACTCAAGAACTAGTCACCCAAGATAAGATAAGTCAAATGCATTCATGCACTGCATGTTGGTCTCGTCTGTAAGTTACTTGAAGGAAACTGCAATTGAGCGTGACAGTGTTCTCCTGTTCATCCGTATTGTTTTAAACCTGGAACTGAACCGACACGGTCTGAGATGAATCACAACATTAGGTTTGTTTCAGCAGAAAATGTACAAGACTGAATTAGCTCTTTATCCCATTAATCATTGCAAATTATAATCAATTTAATGCTATTAATTATAGGTATGATATTATATATTATATTTTAATTAATTAATGAAATATATAAATATAATAAAAATATATTTTAATTAAAATGTGATTTTTATTTTAATTCATTCATTCAGTGTTATTGATTGTATGTACAAAATACTCTATATATATAGTTTGCAGTATTTGTTTGAAACATGTGCAATAAACTTTTGCAATACATGTATATGTGTATTTATTTATATTGTATTGCATTTTATATTGCATGAGTTTATTGTAAAATATTTAGACACATTACAAATAAATGTTCAAGAGTTTAAGAAGAATGGCACAATTGCATCGTTTGCAGTGCTGAGATCTTTTAGTGTGATTACTGTTTCCATAGTAACAGTATCTTTTCTGATTCCCTTTGTTCTGGTGAATCTTTATGATTAAATGTAATTTGCATATACTTTTGTATTTAGGCATTTTGCAGATGCTTCTATCCAAAACGATGACTTGCAAACGAGGAGGAACAAAGCAGCACTACATGTAGTTCTTCTGCAGGAGTTGGTTGATGATTTAACTGTATATCTGGCTAAACAAGTGACTAAACCATCTTGATTTAGTCTTGACCTGCAGTGTGAAGAACAGCCCTCTAGTGGAGAACAGGATGAATGATGGCTTTAGACTGGATGCGTGAAGAGATAAACCTTAAATACCTCCATCAGATACCAGAGGCATTTCCTGTGTGCTATGTTTTTATGTTTGTGTGTGTGTGTGTGTGTGTGTGTGTGCGCAGTTACATTATAGTGCTTTTCTCATTGCATTTACATTTTTGCATTTGACAGATGCTTTTATCCAAAGCGACTTCAATTGCGTTCACAGTAGGGCTGCATGATTATGACAAAAATCATAATTGTCGATTATTCCCTTGAAATTGTAATTGCGATTATTAATTACGATTATCACAATTTACATCGAATTATGTTTATACCATTGTTTGATGCAACTGCATGCTGAATTTTTATATGAAAATGAACAAGCTGAAAACACTCTAACTGAACAACTTTTAGTGCTTTTCTATAGTATTAAGCCTCAAATGTCAAATATACATCGGATTGGTTTCTTCTTTAAATTATAAAAAAGTAAAAATATGAATGGTATTATAATGTTATACTAAAACTAAAATTTAAATAATGGGGAAAACCCTTAAGATAACATGTACAGGTGCATCTCAATAAATTAGAATGTCGTGGAAAAGTTCATTTATTTCAGTAATTCAACTCAAATTGTGAAAGTCGTGTATTAAATAAATTCAATGCACACAGACTGAAGTAGTTTAAGTCTTTGGTTCTTTTAATTGTGATAGTTACGTAATTGTGGTATCCATTATTGTAATTGCGATTAGAAATTTTATTATTTGTGCAGCCCTAGTTCACAGTCTACATTTGATCAGTTCATTGAACCCATGACCTACTCTTTGAACTGGCCATTGCTTAAAGGAATAGTTCAGCATTATTTACTCATCCTCAAATCTGTAAGATTCTTCATGCAGGTCCTGTAGCTCAAACAGTGGTGCAAGGTTGTGGGTTCGATACCCAAGCAATGCATGAACTGATCAAATGCATGCATTGAATGCAGTGTAAGTTGCTTTGGATGAAAGCATCTGCCAAATGCATGAATGTGAATGTTTCTAAACTGTTGCTTAAATGGGTCATCCGCTTGTTTCGATTCAAATGACGACACAATGAAGAACCATGGCAAATATTTACAAAACACATTATGATATCAGCTAAATCCTTGTTAATCTCACTTGTGAATGAGACACAATGATGTCATGTGACCAATGCTGTGTGTCAAGAATCCAGCTCTTCTAAATATAGTCCAACATGATTAGTCACAGCACACTGGCTCCTCTGTTTAACGTGGTTTTCTGGGGTTAACGGGATCTGGTGGAGGTCTGGCAGATCTTTAGGGTGGTAATGGAAGACTCTGACATGTTTGGAGTTACACATTCCATGGCAGTGTGTGGACATGTTCACGCTTTCCACACGCTCGGCGCAGGTGTGCCACACGCAGAAAAGCATGCAAACACTCATCAACTCTAGTTGATTGAGTTAACTTGCTCAGTGGTTGCTCAGTTAAGTGTGATTAATGTGTGTGTGCAAGGAAATCAAAATCTTGATTTCTACTAACTTGAAAAAAGTTAACAAACTCCGTAATTAGGTTAGTGAAACTGAGTGTTATGAGTTCTGCTGGCTTGTTAGGGTGTGTGTAACTAGCAGATAACCTATTACTGTAGATATTTCTATGAAAACCCAGTTTTTATAGCTCTGGAGACTCAATGGAGCTTTCACTTTTATCAACTTTTATGTCAGATAATCAAATATCGTACTGATACATTAAAAGAAATTGGAAAGAGATAATTTGATGACAAGTATTTGAGCTCAGAATGAGATCTTTAAATTTTGAGCACACTTCTGAGAAGATTTATTTTTCCTGAAAGAAACATTTAAGATTTAAGAGTTTCCGTTTGCTCTCCAATGCTGTCGAGGAGAATCAGTCGAGATATAAAAGAGATTTGTTTTGATTTCTCTGTATGTTAATATTAAGGCACTTAAGAGTCTCAGTTTGCTCTTCATTTAAAGCTCAATGCTGTCAAAGAGAATTCATCAAGATAAATTGATTCTCCTTGACAGCATTGAGATTAAATGGAGACTTAGGGCTTAAATGCTTCTTACAAGAATCTAAATATTATCATACGGAAATAAAAAAGATTTTAGAATTTTTTTTGTATGTTAATATTTAGATTCTAATTAGGAATATTTAAGATTTAAGAGTCTCTGTTTGTTCTCCGTTTAATCTCACTGAAGTCAAGGAGAATCAATTCAGATAGAAAATAATTTTGTTTTGATTTCTCTGTATGTTAATATTTTAATTCTTATGAGAAATATTTAAGACTCTCCATCTGCTCTAAATTTTATGGAAGCTTGTTTCCTCCACTACCAAAAAAAGGTAAAAAAGAAAAGAAAAGAAAAAAGCCTTTTTATTTCACAATTCTGAATTTTTTCGAAGAATAGTAAGATATAAACTCACAATTCTGACTCTTTTCTCACAGTAGTGAGTTTACATCTTACAAAAAAAATGTTAATGATAAAAATTATATAAGACTTAAGAGTCTAAAAATAGAAAATAAAATAGAATTTGTTCTTTCATGTGTACAATTTTATATTGATTCTTATGTGAAATATTTAAGACTTAAGAGTCGCTGTTTGTTGTCCATTTAATTTCACTGCTGTCATTGGGAAAAAAAATATTGCCGTATTTATGATGTAAAGGAGCATCAATTGAGATATAAAATAGATCTGTTCGGCATTTTCATTCAAATGTTTGACTTTTTTTAGTTTTTTGACAATTTTAGAGTTTCTGTTTGCTCTCCATTTAATCTCAGTGATGTCTGGAAGAATCAATCGAGATATAAACGTTTTACAGTGACACCTGAAGCCTTTATGTGTAATGCATTATAAAGATTTTCATAATGCACACTTTCCCCAGGCGCCACAGCAAAAAAAAGGCTGCCCACTACTCTGGGTGTGTGTTCACGGTGTGTGTGTGCACTTTGGATGGGATAAATGCAGAGCACTAATTCCAAGTATGGGTCACCATACTTGGCCACATGTCACTTCACTACACTACTTAATGCATTATATCTTATCATCAATAATCGTAACCAAATTTAAAATGCATTATATTTGCACATTCCTTGTTACATATTGACTGTTTGCCATGTGTTTTAATGCAAAATGCTCTCTAAATATGTAACAGTGAATATGCATTATAAGGTGCATTAAAATACCTTTTAATAGCAATGCATATATAAGTATTGTAATGCATTCATAAAATGCATTAAAAGGTACATTAAAATACTTTTTAATGCATTATATTTAAAGGCTTCAAGTAAAGCGTTACCTTGAATCCCAGGCACTTTTGTTTGTTTGTTAGTTACTCTGCTAGTGTGTGTTTTTGGATTAGTGAGATTGAGCGCAGCACTATTGTAGTTGAGTGACCCGAGCCGCCGATGGCATGCTGCTGTCTTCTTTTTTTCTTTTCTCCCCCAAAAGCGACAGCATAAGCTGAAACCCTAGTGCATTTGTTTTGTCGGGACAAAGAGGGGGAGGCTCCGGTCGCTCGAGAGAGGAGGGGGTAGTAAAGGTTTGTTCCCCTGCAGGGCACTTGTGGACGGGGGTGTTGTTGTGCCTGTGTACAGCTCAGATGTGTGTTTTCTCAGCGCTAAAGGAAATTGCATCAGTATGCATTATCCAGCAGGGAGAGGCCACAGGAGGAGGGCCGTCTCTCTCTCAGTCCTCCCACTAGAGCCGACTCAGTCATGGGCGCAGAGGAGCCCAGTCGCTCTCCCTGATGGACTTACACTGGATTAATCAACTCACCTCACTTTATTTATTTGCATATTTATGGTTTTTCTACTATCTTGAGCCCTGAATGCGGACGTGGAGCACTATGCACTCCAGAGTGAAGTCACGGAGCTGCGATAATTACCTGAGTATAAAGGTAAGCGCAGGTATTGTGACTGTCCTGTTAAACAGGAAAATGTCTTTGCTTACTGCAGGGTTATTATAATTAATGCAACGCGGACCATAAATAAAAACACTTTTGTTACTTTAAATAAAATAAATGTTAAGTAAAATATTTAAAAACGTGCACTTATTTTATTCCAGCTGATTCCAAGTCAACGTTTCTCATTTTTATTTAATTTAACTTGATGTACTGAAATACCTCAAACTAAAACTCAAATAAAATTAATTAAAACATTTTTTTACTAAAACTTTAACTAAAATTAACATGAAAGTAGAACATTCAACATATTAAGAAAAACTATGATAACACTGGTCAAATTTTGTTCACTTACAAAAAATACTGTGACTGTTCTGTAGTATATTTACATTAATTCATTAGTAGATGCTTCTATCCTAACTGACTTGCAAATGAGCAAATGTTATGGTGCCTTTACAGTATATACACCATCATAATCATATTTAGATGATATTTTGGTAGTTTTTTTGTTAGTTTTGGGGTTTAAAAGACTCTTAATATTCAGTAATATTATGAGTCTGACTACTGTTGGGTGAGAACACAACATGAACTGAATTGGTCTGAATGATGACACCACTGTCTTTAATTGAACTTGTTTCTAATCGTTCAGCTTAGTTACTGAACTGAATTGAGTCGGATAATAGCACTGCTTTCTTTTTAGAGCTGTTTTATAGCAGAGTTTGAATTAGTCTCTTATTCAGAGGAGTTTGCATGATTGATCTTTAATTCACACTGTTCAGTTAACATTCTGAAAACCTGAATACGGTAGTATAATAAAATAATAGATTTTTATTATTATCATCATATTATTATATTATTTTAAACGATTGTATTCTTTAATACATCATAAATATTAAAGTATACTGTTATGAATGTATATATAAATAAAAAAAATATATATATACTGTATATATATATATAAATTCATTATATATATATATATATATATAAACATTATTTTGATTGTATTATATGAAGATTATATTTATTTATTTAACCTTCGTTACGTATAAAATAAGTCCTTAAAATGTTTGTTTAATGATCTGTGTCAACTGGATTTATTAAATATGGATTTATTTTCATTTTGGATACCACCTGAAATGTTTAACCCATATTATGCATTTCAGGATTAATTGTAAACTGAATTATACAAACAAACAGACAGACAGACAGACAGACTAACAAACAAACAAACAAACAAACAAACAAATAAAGTTTTATTTAAAAAAAATTTAAATGGAAAAAAAACTCCTTAACTTACTTGTTGTATTTGTAAATTGTTTTGGATAAAACCATCTGCCAAGTGAATAAATGTAAATATATTTTTGTTTATTTTTAGAAAAGCAAAGCAAGCCTGTAAACAGTTCAGGAAGTTTTCTGATGTCTTCACAGATGTTTTTTAAATAGCCGGTTCAGTTCAGCATCACGTATCTGAGTCGTCAGACCCCTGCTGTGTTTCTCCTCCTCTATAATCCTGCATTTGTCCTCAGACGCTCTGGAGAGGTGTTAACGCTGCTTTGACACCTGCATGTATGAGGCGGCTCTCAGTAACCTGTGCTCTCGCTCCTGTTTCACTCCCTTCATGCTCCGCTGGAGAGCCTTTGTCTTCCTGACCCACTAAACACATCAGAGAAAGACCTTCCCGTCAGACTGTCAGGAGTTCACACGCGGTTTATTTAGAGCGGCTTCGTTTGGTGAATCACAGCTTATAGTTACTGTATGCTTGCATTGCAGTAAAAGGCGTTTAAGTGCAGCTCAGGTCAATTAGAGCATCAATTATGGCAGCGATTTGTTAAAATTTGTGCATTTTTAGTGATCTGTTCAGGGTTCCCACAGTCTTGGAAAACTTTAAATTGTGGGTTCCAGGCCTGTAAAAGTCATAGAAGTCAATGAAACCTTAAAAAGTCATACTAATAATTTCCATAGTGAATATCAGTATTTTGTTTTTTTGTTTTATATATATATTCCCAATTGTAAATCGCTTTGGATAAAAGCATTTGCAAAATGACTAAACGTAAACGTGTGTGTATATATATACAGTATATTAAATATTTATGGGAGATTTTTACATGTCCTGCAAACAATATATATATATATATATATATATATATATATACTGTATATCAGCATATTAGAATAATTTCTGATTTATAGAATTCTATGAATCATGTGACACTGAAGACTGGTGTAATGATGCTGAAAATTCAGCTTTGCATCATATGAATACATTAAATTTGACCATATATACATATAGAAAGCAGCTATTTTAAATTGTAATAATATTTCACATTCATTTTTCTGATTTTACTGTATTTTGATCAAATAAATGCAGCTTTGATAAGACATGAACATTAAAAAATGTCATCTATTTCAAACTTTTGTATTATTGCATTTGTAAGTCTAAAAAAGCAAACTGTTCCTCAACGAGCTGCATGATTTTGGTGCAAATGATGTGTTGCGGTTCAGGATAGATATGAGAGAGAATCTGTTTGAGTCTGTAGGTCGTGTGGTTTTGTAGCAGATGTCCGTCTGTTTTAATAAAGCAGCAGTGAGCCATCTGGAATCCACGTCGTTTAGATATAATTACGGGTCCGGGTCTGATCCGTCACCATAAACACCATCAAAGAGGGCAGATCCTCCCAGATCCCACACACATCTCCTCTGAGCCACACTTGTGCTTTGGCTGCTATTAAAAGCTCCTTTACTGGCTTCAGCCAGGTGAAATAACTTCTTCAAGGTTATGGAAATGCATCAGAAGCTCTCCTTCTGCCCAGTCTTATTTAATCTTTCATCTTCAAAGCCACACGTATCTCCAGTTCTCTTGAAGTCGTCCATCCAGTGCTGTATGTTTAGTCTTCTCAGGCTTTAAAAGTGGTGTTTTGGGTGGGCGCACTGAGACTGATATGCAGGCCGTCCTGAATGCAGCTTGTAGTTTATACCATCGCCAAAGTTTTCAGGTTAAAACATGTTGTTGAAAAGATCTTCAGACTCCGCATGTGCCAGAACCCTCAAACCCCATTCATTAACCTTTGAGCCCCAACAGAAAGCCAAAATAAAAGGTTATTTGGTAAGGGTGTCTTGATAATGTTTGTATTCTATATATATTTCAATATATTTGAAAAAGTATTGAATTTATTTGAACACATGCATATATTTTCGCCCCCCAAAAAAGTTTAGTATTGTCTTAATGTTTATATAAAAGTAAAATAAAATATTTTGACAAGTGTATATATATATATATATATATATATATATATATATAAAATATATATATTATATATATTTGTG